GGGGGGGGGGTCGTCTTCTGTGCAGCGCAGCCAGTCGGCCGTCGCACCGGCCGCAGCGTGGCTTGCTGTGCTGCTGTGCAGCTGGTGTGCTCCGCTGTTTCATTTCCCACGACACGCGGGATGACGATTAAAAGGCTCCTCACCTATCCGTCTCACAACTGCACATTGCAATAACGTGTAAACGCCGCCGCTTCGTGTTCGTTGTTGTAAAAGTGTTGATGACGCAACGGTCGCGATGATTGTTACGGCCCGCCGCCCGGGCACCGCGACATGTGCGAGGCGCTGCTGCGCATAACGGGAGGGCTCGCCGTGAATATGCAATTCCTGCGAAGAACATCCCCCGGACAGCACAGCAGCGCGCACGGCAGCGGCGGCCCTGCCCCTGCCTGCCCTGTGATAAGCCGCGAGGCAGGCAGCTGCCGCCGCAGCAGCAGCAGCAGGCGCTCGTTGTACACGGCGGCGAGCCCGGTGTCTGTCGCAGCAGCAGCCATCAGGGGGGGGGGCGAACATGTTGTGGGAAATCTTACAGCAAGAGGAAGATAACGTATGCGTGTCATCGTCATCGCCGTGTGCATGTACGGTACCCACGTAAAACTCATGAAACTCTGGGCGTACCGTACCGTACACGGGACTCATATTGCTTCATTTGATTGCAATGACAACATTTCGTTGCATCAGTAAAAGAAACATTTATACCTCTCGAGTAAATATTAAATAGATCCCTACGTGGTAGGAGGTAGGTAGGTGTCATAACGCGCCAACACGTGCAGGAAGCACAACAGCTCGGGGTCGTCCAGAAAGGCACACGAAGTGGCCCTCGCTCCCCGAGGCGGTGCTGGTGGTGGTCATTGGCTCGGCCAGGAGGACCAGGGCCGGAAGGCGCTGTTTGGCATGGCTCTGGATTTTAATTTTCGTCTATCGCAGCCGCGGGACAGGGTACCAGCGTGGTAGTTATCGCGTGTCAAACGGGTTGGAGCGAGGTGGAGGAGCGAGGCCCGGGGGTGAAGCTGAAGCGGTACGTGTTGGTTGGGCCAGCTCTCGGCAGTTTTCTGTCTCTCTCTTTTGGTGGGTGGGGTATGGGTGGTATTCTATTGCAACCATGCGACACTTTTGCCGGCTCCTCGCGTCAGAGACTTGGATTTGTTGTAGAGCAATGAACAGCGCCGTTTTGTGGGCGTACTACAATACGTCATATGTCGGCGACAATAAAGGTCCAGCCGCCGCCGCCGCCTCACCGCAACGGGGCCGCGATGGGCGCGCAGGCGGGGCGCTCTGCCTGCTTGCGGTGGCGGGCTCGTCCAGGCGAGTAAAGCCCCTACTCGGCGTGTCGCGCCCGGTGACGCGTGCGCCAAGGTCCCTGCTCTGCCATCAGTTTATTGTTTTGAACGCGCTTGTCGTCGTGTTTTTCTCCCCGAGTGCTCCCAATGGTTTTGCACCGCCGCCCGCTGCTTCTGCCACGGGTCGGTGCGGCGGGTGGCGGCCGTGTGGGCGGACGGGGGACGGGCCACTGGGCCAGGGCTGGCGCTGCGGTTATCGAGGGAACTTTAGAGACGAGGTGCAGCGAGCGACGCGATCAAATAATGTGTGATTCTGTTTTTAGAGCCCCAGGATGCTATTATTCTTAAACAAGTGTCTTCTCAACTCTATACCGGGTGATTCAGAGCACGCGCCGCCGTGTTGCGGGTTTGCCTATCCTCGACTCGGCGGGCGCAAGGGTCGAGGATAGGCAAACCCGCAATACGGCGGCGCGTGCTCTGAATCACCAGGTACTTTTGCCTGGGTGTAGCAAAACCTCCTGACAATAATTGTTTACATTTTGGGGCTCAGCATCGAGTTAGCCGTATCTGTGTGGTACTCTGGGTCTGGGTGTGACAGCTCGTCCTTCCCGTACGAGCACGAGCAAGTGTATAGGAAATAAACCTGACAAACTACGAATTCTTGTTTTTTGTGGGGTTTTTTCGGGCTAAATTTTCTCGGCCTGCGGCGGTCCCACTTCCGTCTCTTCCGGAGGGCGCCGCTTATACTTCCGGATGGCCGCGGGCGGGCGGTGGGAGGAGGAGGGCTTTTCACCTCAAGACTACTTAATCCCGGACCGCCGAATTGGAGGCGGCGTCAGCAGCCCGGAGGCGGGGCGACTACTACTCTGGCGACTAGTTCTCAGGATCAGGCAGAAGGCGTGGGGCGGGGCTCGCGAGACAGTCACGCTGCCACGGGGATCGCGGCCGGCCGCGGCGCCGCGGTGCGGCCGGCGTGCCTCTGGACAAACCCGCCCCGCGGGGGAGCCGGCCGGAAGACTTGCATTCGCCCGTAACGCGACGCGGCGGGGCGATAAACGATATTAGGTATTAATTGGGGAAGGATTAGTAGAGCCGCTATGGGGGGGATGATTAGCTTATGGAAACGGGTTGGTTATGTATAGCACCGGGTGATCTACGTGGTCAAAAAGCACGGGTGCGCCGTGTTCTCGACAAGGTGTGGGTGAGTTAGCTGTGTGCACCCAGAAACCTCAATGTGTTGCTCATAACAAAGTGCGCAGAAAGCAAAAACGATTTCATTTAAAATTATTTTGTTTATTTTGCTGTGCATCTCCAAACATATAAGTATGTATTTTTCAGAGAACTTCGGACAACTAAAAGAATTGACTAGAACACTTAATATTATTGAGCTATATACAAACTGAAACGAACGTCAAAAACAAAATAGTTACAGCCGATTAACTCCCAGATTCATATTATACATAGTTAGCAGCACTTTACATTTTGTCCATACCTCTCGTTCGTGCAGAGCAAAACTCTGGATTCAGTGTCCATCATATTCCACCGAGTGGCAGCTTGCAAACGGGAGAGTTGAGGAATTCCCGCATATCTGGGCGACACGTGGGAAAACCTTGGTGAAACCGGAGTAAACATGGGGCGGGGGAAGCACTGAAAAGCTACGTTTGAGACTGGCTGGGAGCTTGTTCTTGTTCTCGGTGTGCTTTAACTCGGTCCTGCGCTCGAACGAAGGAAGTGCGATGAACCGGAGGTAAATTCATCGCAGAGAATAGTTTGTTTAGCTGACCATGGCTCACTCCAGCGTCTATGCAGCCTGTGAACAAACAGTTTGGCCGTGAACAAAAAGCCATACCCTAGTGCAAGAAATAAGCGGAAACGCGAAAAATAAAGATTTCATGCACGACACTTACCCGTAGCAGCCTGAAGATTTATGGAGTATAGGGGAGATTTTCCGTCCGCTAGAACGGGGCCTTTGTCGTCGGTGTGGATCTTGACCACTTTCATGCAGCGATGGCACCTCACGTGGAAGACGGATGCGAGACCGTTCCGCTGTTCGTTTTCCTGAAACCTCAAGCTCAGTGCGTCGTCGCAGAAGTCACACCACAAGGATTCGCCAAGGCATGGCAAATTCGCAATACGGCGATCAGGGCAAGCGGGACTCTGTTCTGGGTCTGGAGCGGCGGCGGTGGCGGCGGCCTCCTCTTCCTCACGTTTTGCCTCTTCTGCCTCCTTGCGAGCTCTGTTCTCGATCCCATTCCGGACGTTCATGGCAACGAGCCTCTTATTCCTTATGATAGCGGATTTCTTCATGAAAGGCATGTTTCCTTTTCGGATTGAAATCACACGCACTCAAGAGTTTGGAGACGGAAACGACCTTCACTCGCCGGGGTTTGCTTCTAGACTGACCTTCCAGGTGCGAGGGGAAGGTGAGGTGCTGGGCTGGGTGCTTGCTGCACCTCCCTGTCCCTGCCCGGCGCTCGGCTTTCGTCCACCAAGGCCCGGGGCTCGCCCCGCCCCGTCCCCGGCATAAGGCGGCCGCACCCCGCGTGACTCGTGATCGCTCGTGTCGTCGCGTCGCCTCGGTCGTCGCCCCCCCC